CAAATCATTTCCATTGATTTAAATTTTTTCATTGTTTTGCATCAAACATCATCAAAATCCTAAAGACAAACTTGGAAAGACATTTGGAAATGTCCTTGGCAGTACTACTTGGTATCAAGGTAAGAATAATGCATTTTCTTGAAGATGGATCTATATTTGGAACAGATTTCATATTGTTGATGCATCTACTTTCATCCATTGAATTGTGTTGGAAAAGGTTTTAACAGCTGTAAAAACCCCACCAGTAAAAGAAAAGGAAAACATGGATTTTTCTAGACACAGTATCTCTGTGACTTACTGAGTTTTGGATTAGCCCATGTGTTAGTTTTCTATGGCTGCATGGCAAATTACCACAAACCTAGACACTTAAAAGAACACAAATTTATTATCTCACAGTTTCCATGGGTTAGGAGTCCAGAATGTACTGAACCTTGAGTTCTCAGCTCAGGGTCCTACAAGGCTGAGATCAAGGTGCCAGCCAGCTGCAACCTCATCTGGAGGCTCGACTAGGGAAATGTCTGCTTCCAAGCACCTTCAGTGTGTTGGCGACATTCATTTCCTTATTTCCTTGAGACCATTTGACTAAATTCCCCTTTTTCTTGGCAACGGACAACAGGAGGCTGCTCTCAGCAACCAGAGACCACTCTCAGGTCCTTACCATGTGGCCAGTCATAGTCAGTTCACATGACAGTTTACTCTTAAAAGCCAGCAGGAGAATCTCTCTCCCACTTCAAATTTCTTTTTTTCTTTTAAGGAGTCACCTGCTTAGGTCAGGCCCACCCAAGATAATCTCCCTTTTTGTTAACCGAATGTCAACTGCTTGGGGACCTTAATCACATTTGCAAAATCCCTTCTGCTGTATTACACAATATAATCACCTGAGTGGCAGCCCATCATATTTACAAGTCTTGTTCACATTCGAGGGGAGGGAATTACACAGGGCAGGTGTCCAGAGGAGCGGGAATCTTGGGGGCCATCCTAGAACTCTGCCTACCATTGTCCCGCATTGTGTGCCTGTTTGTGATCTATGAATTGAGGATAATACTCCATTCTCAAGATTGTCATAAGCTCTATGTGTGTACTTTTCACTCAGAGAAAAGTACCACCATGCATTCTAAAACTGTTCATATTTAATATGCATTGAGCTCCACTGAAATCTAGCCCTTGTCCTAAGTCTCTGTTCATTCTGAAAGCTTACGATAAGGAACTCTGATGGCTCTCCCCATGGCTGCATCTTTAACCACACTCTGGCCACAAATTGCTTTTTAAAATTTTACCACGGAGCTGCAATTTCAGTTCCACCATTTAGCGTGACTTCAAAGCATCCGAAGGGGTTGTTTTCCAGTGGATTCATCTGGTGACCCGCACTCAGCAGATTTGGGGCTCCTCTGCCTGTAACCCAGCCCTCCTAGAGCAGGGTAAACACACTCCGACTTCCACATGGTGGGGTGACAGCCCCTGTTGGTACCTGAGATTTTAGGTGGTAGACAGGTAGCACTGTCTTTAATTGAGAATTTATTTTAATGTCTTAGAAAAAATATAACTACCTGTTGAAACCCACGATTTCAGGGGATAAGCAAAGCTAAAAGTAGGAATTTAAGATTTTTTAAAGTGATAATTTGAGAAAAATGTTAAATAATAGTACAAGTGAGCAGGATATGGCGAAAATGATAGCGTGTTACCCCAATTTGGGAAACATTGTCATATGCTTTGAAATTGTCAGGTAAGTGACTAAGTAGTGAATGAACTAGTGAATTGGGTGAATATTGAATGAATTATGCTAAGTGAATCTGACTCCAAGAACCCCTTCTGTGTCACAACGTTACAGAAGCCCACTACGTGCCGGCAGCTGAGTGTGTGTGACTCAAGCCCGTAAAGCACGTCTCAACCTGCACTCAGACCACGGGGCCCAGGAGTGAGGGGCGGGGATGGAGCCTGAAGGGGGCGTGGCCAACCCACCTGCGGCCAGCGTGCGGGGGCGTGGCCAGAGAGGGGCGGGTCCTCGCGGCGGAAGGCGGAAGTTGCTGAGGAGTCATGTGCCCCGAGTAACATGGCCGCTGCACCATGAGCGCCGCCGGTATCTGGCGGGAGAGGGTAGCTTGAGCTGTTAGGTGGCCAGGGTCAGGTGTGCAGGAGCGGGGTCCGGGCCTGGGTTCCAAAGCGCGGCGGCAGAGTGAGGCAGGCGGGCTCGGGGCGGCGTGGTCCATGAGCCGGCGCCGGGGGCAGCGCGGAGCCGTAGACTCCCCGGGCACCGGCGCGGCCCCGGCAGCCGCGGGCTAAGGAGTCGCGAGGCTTCTCGAGCTACCACCATGAACCCCGAGAAGGACTTCGCGCCGCTCACGCCAAACATCGTTCGCGCCCTCAATGACAAGCTGTACGAAAAGCGGAAGGTGGCAGCGCTGGAGATCGAGAAGTAAGAGCCGCCGGGACAGCTCCCTGGCTGTGCAGCCCCGTTGCTCTGCTCCCCTGGGGGACGCTTCACACCTTCCCAGCCAGTGTTAACTTTCCCAGGTTTCAGGCCCTTAGCGCAGTGCTTAAGAGCAGACTTGGAGTCATATCTGGGAGTCCCCGCTTTGCCCCTGACTGGCTGTGTGATTTGGTCCAAGTTTTTTAACGTCTTGGTGCCCTAAAGGGCTGCAGTTAGAATGAAGTGACATAATGTATGTGTAGTGCTTTGCACAGTGCCTGGCACATGGTGGGTCTTCAGTGTGGCGGCGCCACCAAAACCAGCAAGTGAGAGAGTTGGCCTCTGTGATGGGGAGAGAAGTCAGAAGCGGGAGAATTTGCTAGTGATGTTGACCTGCCTGGTTTCTTACCCAGCTTCTGAGAAT